GGTTTTGGTTGATTCAGTTGGTATTCCTTTATACATATTTAGACTCTGGCTTTGATTTTGGATTTTGTTTATTTAGAATCGTGAATTGGTTTTCGTTTTTTTTAGGTTGTTTAACAATATTTCAAAGGAATATTAATAATATAGATAGTGTATACGGTACCTATACACTTACTTATTTTTTCGTTGTTTATATTTATATTGACTACTGCTTTCGATTTCGGTTTTCTGCGATTTGTTTTGTGATTTGGTTTAAGTTGATTCGATTTTTTTTGGCTATCGTTTTCGGATTCGTGTTGTGTCTTGAATTGGTTTTGTTGTTTTGATTTTAAAAAATATTTAAAAGGAATATTTATTCCTTTTAGATGACGTCCTTCGGACCGGGAAATAATAATGCCGGGATTTTTGCCTACATTTACGGTGCAAGGGCAAATTTATCATAGAATCGGTTCACTTTTTCCAGCTGAAAACGTACAGCATAAATTTTTACAAGTATATTTTATGGGTGACGAAGAAATTGAGGTAGACCGTCGCCGCCAATTTATCCAGGGAGTTGAGAGAGACACAGTATTCAAAATTCAAAGATTCTTGCACGAACGTAACATTTTAGTCAAAAAATTTAAAACTACTTTAGAAAACCTACCTGAAGAGGATTATAGAGTCGTCATTCACGCAGATCGGACCCCTCGAAGAGAGCATGAAAGGCGCTACAATGCACCTTTGATAAACGAAATAGTAGCCGTAATTAGTGGGATCAATTTTCTTCACGAGACATTGTCTTGCGAGCATGTGATGATACGTTGCAACGGGTAGCCGATACACACAAGTTTTATGACGCTCTGCAATACCCATTGATTTATTGCAAAGGACAAGAGGATTATCATTTTCAAATTCCACTCATTAATCCGGTCATAAAGGAGCCTACTCGAACAAAAAAGTATCATGTATGGATTTTTATGCGAATCATATGATGTTGCGAGAAAATGATTTTAACCTCTTAGCCCGGTGTAGACAATTATTTCATAAATTTTTGGTAGACATGTATGTGAAGGTAGAAAGTGAACGTCTCCGTTATATATCTTTAAATCAAAAAAAGCTGCGCGTTGAGAATTATATACATTTACAACATGCAGTTTCTAGCGACGCCAATGTAAACCCCAGAGATTTAGGTAAAATGGTAATTCTGCCCTCATCATTCGTTAACAGTCCCCGCTACCTACATGAGTACACACAAGACGCATTCGGCTACGTACAAATTTACGGAAGACCTGATCTTTTTGTTACTTTTACTTGCAATCCCACATGGAAAGAAATAGCCGAGGAGCTAATGCCGGGCCAAAAAAGTACTGACAGACACGATTTAGTTGCTAGAGTATTTAGATTAAAAGTACAAAAATTAATGTATGTAATTAACAAAGGGAAAATTTTCGGAGAGGTGCAGTGCTTCAAGTATTCAATTGAATGGCAAAAAAAGAGGATTACCGCATGCCCAAATTCAAATATGGCTTAAAGAGAAGTTGCGACCCAGCCAAATAGACGACATAATAAGCGCCGAGATTCCGGATCCGGTCCCAGTCATGCTAATGCGAAATTTAGATGCTCCTCGGTTATGTAACGGGACAGGGCTGCGTGTGACACGTCTTGGACGGAACATAATCGGTGCTACAATTCTGACAGGCGTAGGAAAAGGTGAAAATGTTATTATACCACGGATCCCTATAATTCCCACAGATCTTCCTTTTCAATTCAAAAGGTTGCAGTTCCCTATTAAGCTCAGTTTTGCAATGACAATTAATAAAGCGCAAGGGCAAACGTTACAGGTAGCGGGGGTCAACTTAGAAAAACCGTGCTTCTCTCATGGTCAGCTGTATGTAGCATGTTCGCGTGTGTCAAATGCCCAGATTCTTTCCCCGAATGAAAAAACATATAACATTGTGTACAGTAGCGTCTTAAAATAGTGTTCAGTTAGTTTTTTTCCAAAATTCCCACAATCAATTAATCAGAATTCCCACAGATCTTCCCTTTCAATTCAAAATTTCCTATTTAGCTCAGTTTCTTTTCAATTACAAATGCTGCACCTCTGACGGACCTATTAAGCTCAGTTTCCTTTCAACTCAAAAGGCTGCATCTCTAACGAATCAATTTAGCTCAGTTTCTTTTCAAAAGTCTGCATTCCTGACGGATAATTATGCTCAGTTTCCTTATTAATATCCATTTCCATGGAATAAAGCTATTTTGCTTTTTTTTAATTCTTTTAATGGTTGCATCTCTGAAAAATCTATAAAACTCAGTTTTCTTTCAATTCAAAAAGCAATGGATATTTCATTTCCCAGTGACCATGCGAGCGAAGTCGCGGGTAACAGCTAGTATAAAATAATCTAACGTCCCATTTCATCTCGTTGTTTTTGCAAGTAGTAACATGGGAAATTGAGTGTCACTTATATATATATATATATATATATATATATATATATATATATATATATATATAAATTATAGGTCTGGTCAATATGGTTTTAAAACGACAGTATTTACGACAGTCCTAAATTACCGAAACCAGCGTCGGAGAGCAGCGCACAAGGTGCGAGGCGTCTGTAATTGCCGCCGCTAATCCACCGGAAAAAAGTGGCGATCAAAGCTAAACCCCCTTACAACGTAGAGGCTTATTCTTGTTTTCTTTTCCCAGCTATAGAGTTTTGACCGTTGATAAGAAAGAAACATTAGGTTTTTAAATGTATTCCATGCTCTTAAAGCATGGATAGGGGAACAACTCATTTGTAATATCATAGGTTTCCATATTTTTTTGTCTTGACTGAACATAGTTATTATTCGCTTGCCTGACGATCATGCGTTCATATACTAAGGCGCTACTCTTAGCGAACGACCTTGAGCGTTCAGTCCTATAAAATCCACGCGCTCTCGCTACAATACATCGCGTAAGAAATAAGCCCATAATTTTGCAGTTATTTCAATTAGAAAAGAAAAGCGAAATTAAGTAGTTAAATAAAACGTGAATAATATAGATTTTTAAATTATCTCTCCATTAGTGTAATTCTCACATGATTAGAGCGTTGTCCTTAGCAACAGATGCATCATGTAATCAATAATTTTAGTCATTTTTATAAGTTGATTTTGAATGTATTTATAACACAAAAACAAGTTGTGATATCCTATCATATCGAACATTAATAATGTGTCTCTTAGATGTAATTTATTACTCATAACTAATGAGATAATAGTCTCCGAAAAACGCTATGCAAGGTGGTCGATTCTTAACCACAGAAATCATAGTCCAAGGTACTGAAAAATCTATAATATAGACTCTTAAGCGTATTTGGCTTCGCATTGCCAATAGTTTGTCCAATCCATATCAAATCTTGGATTGATATTATAAAGTGCATTAAGTACATCATAAAATTGTTTATAAACAATCTAATAAAAGATCAGATAAGTTATGTAGAATAACTGAAAATTGACGTTGCGCACAGCCCGCTTAACGTAGTGTTAATTACTGTACTAGATAAGCATTACAAATTTAAAGCCAATGGACATGCTTACAGCGATGACCTACTACGATAAAACCTGAGCTTGTAGCGTTTGCATTTAAAGCGTATATCGCCTGATTTTTAAAAGCTTAAAAAAGCAGTAACAGTCACTAATTTTTACAATTTATTGCAAAGATAGACGGTAGCTGCAGCATATGTTGTAAATAAGATTAGAGGCCTTATATGTGTTGAAACATCTAAATTAGTTTATTTTAGTTATTTCCATAGCACAAGGTTATGTTATGGAATCTTGATATGAGGTAATGCGACTGACATTGAAACTATTTTTGTTTTACAGAAGAGAGCCATACGAGTAATTTATAACCTATGTCCGAGGGAATTCCTTAGAGATAAATTTGAGACAATAAATATATTCAACTATGGCCTCCATATATATTTACGTACACAAAAAATAGCTTCATTAATAGTGATATAGATTTTGTAAATACTAGAAATAAGCCCGTGTTAGTTATACCAGTTACTCGACTGAATACTTTCATGAGGCAATGTAGACGCTTAAACAACAAAGTATCAGAAAATATGCACGCTTAATCCTTCAATAAGTTAAAAAAAATTATTAAGCAAAACTTGTTTAGTAAGGATTATTATACTAACTGAATGATAATAACCCTTGGGAATAAGGTGATCGCTACCGTGCTGTTTCTAATGTCTTCATACGAATTGTATAAATAATATATTATAAATAAAATTTATTTAAAAAAAGCAGTCCCGCTGGGTTTCTTGCTGGTTTTTCCGGAGGTTTATTCTGATCCAGTTAGTAAAAGTAAAAAATTACTTTCAGTAAGTATTCTTGTAATCTATACTCAATAAAAATAATTCTATTCAATAGAATCATTTTTATTGAGTATAGATGAATACATCGTTTTCTCTTAAAATGTGTCTCTTATTTCCATGGTTAACATTTTTCGGTCTATCAAAAGTCAAAGGCAAAAACAAAGGCCTCCCGCTAAGTTGCCTCATAGGGGGATATTTTAGTTAGTTATTGAACTAATTTTAAATTAAGAAAAACAAGTGTAACTAATTTTTCCTAATTAAAATTTTTATATAATGATAAAAGTTACGTTATTTATTAAAAATAAATTGTACCTCGTTAAGTGTGTCCTTTAGCGGACGCGGAGCAAGAAGTGACACTTGTTAAAGCTGTTGCAAGAAAAATGTGACATTATAAGCAAAAGGAAACATTCAAAGAAATCACGTTGGCTTGAATTTTAATGTGAAGTATTTTAGAGAAAACTTTGAGATGTCGCGTCCCACATTGCAACAGATAAAAGGTGTGAATGTAATATTCACAAACTATAAAAACTATGAAAAAAGAGACTTTCATGCAAAGACTACGATGTAAAAAACGTTGATATATAAATAACGTCAGACAAGCGTTACTTATTTTCAAGATATTTAAAATTTAATTGCTACATGTTTTGTGTCTGTAAATCTCACCTCAATACCAATTTGTAAGATCCCAGCAGCGACGAAGGCCATAGCAGCAAGTATTCCTCCAATAAACATCTTTTGTAGTGGAGGTAATTCTGGCAGAAGCGGCCATGCTCCACTTGGACACACAGGAATCATGACGAGGACCATTGCTGGGTTCATAACTTGCAACTGATCCGGCATAAGCGTCATACCGAATACTTCACTACGTAATCGCGACGCTTGAAAAGTCCAGCGAGATCCCTGAAGTACATTTTTTTTGTAAATAAATCACTATTAATGCTATAAATGCTATGTTTCTTCTTGTTAATTACATTAAAAATAATTAAACAACTTGAAAAACGAAGGCGGTCAGGTAAACAAACAGCCGCTCAAGAGATGCAGTTATTTCCGGGTTACTTCCGCTGAATTTGCTGCAGTCTCACGTCGGACGTTATTGAATTTTGCCGACATAATTTAATTTCAAGTTTCATAGCATCCTGTAGTAAGAGAAATCTAGATAACATGGTTAACCTACAAAACGATTATAATTTTATTAATATTGTTATCCTGAATAGGTCATCAATATTTTTAAAAAGAAAGAGATATAGGTACTAATATTTAAATGCAATTCTTTTTATTTTTTATTTTTTGGTTGAATATATTCCGATTGTTTTTTTTTTTTTAAATTACATTGTATAATATGATAGTGTATAAAAATGAATAAGGAATTATTTTTAATATATTATAATATTAATTATTTAATTTCGTTTAAGATAGATCGAATTTTCAAATTACAGAAATAGTGTTAAAGGAGCGGTCTGTGGCAGCGAAAATTACGTGTTGCAAACTAACAAACCTTTATTTAAGGCTCTGGAATCACCACATCCTAGTCATTGTACATTTAAAACACATGCATTTGCGAAAAGGTAGTCTATTTTATTCCACACAAATGAATCTTTTACATGCTTCAAAACGTGAGGGAGTGGCTCTACTGTAGATAATGTGGCTATACCTCAATTCCGCTATATAAAATCATTCTTAATATACTAAAAGTATATCTTGACATCAAATCCATAATATTATTAACGCTACAATAACTACAGACATTGAATTATAAGATTTGTTTATTTTCTAATTGATTCACTTTAGATTACTTAACTAAAAATATTTAAGTAATCTAAAGTGAATCAATAATTATTTAATGGAAAAAATATATGGACTACCGTCCGTTGGTCTGTGCCTCGGTGAGTCTTCTCGTTTAATAGAAATATAAGCAATATAAAGTATTAAATAAGATTGCATATATTCTAAGGAGGGTAGCTATTGATTTTTGTTTTTGAACTCAACATCGTTTAAAAGTTATTAATGAAAGTTGATCAGATTCTCTGTTTTACTTTCTTGCAAAAATTATCGTTAGTTTCATTTTAATTTTTAACTTAATAAGCGTGTGAGGTGTGCCCTTTTAGATTTTCCATATTATATTCATTCAATGCAATCTGTGATAATTTTATAAATTATTTGGAGATATGTTCTGTATATAGCTGGATTGGCAAGGTTGTTTTAATCTTTGGACATTATATAAGTTACTAGCTGTCCTCCGTGACTTTGTTCGCGTGAAATTTATTACGATAAAATTTCATGGATTTGAATTTTTTGCGAAAGACTCCAATTCCTTTTTCTAAAATGGAAATAATACTAAGTTATTCATAAACAACAAAAAATTGGTTCAGCCATTTCGGTGATTAGCGGGAACAAAGAGAAAAACGAACACAAAAATTTTAAAAATTGTTTTTCGTTTTAAAAATATCGAATTCTTTTTGTAGATATTGATGTCCTCTATAAAACTAGTACATGTCTTTGCTCTATTGTTAATAGTTTCCGCAGCGTATGCGATATAAGGATTTTTCGGCGTTACTATTGCATATTTTAACATGAAAAAGTAGTTATTGTTGGTAGCATTAGCGAAGTTTTCATACGGATCCCTAACTTTTTTTGAAAATATACTATAGCCTATGTTCACTAGGAATAATGTAGGATTCAAATGGGGAAAATATTTCAAATCGGTTTAGTAGTTTTGGAACCTATTCAATGCAAACAAACAAATTTTTCCTCTTACTAGCTGCTGGTAACGGGCGCGTTGCTGCCACAGAAGACATATGGAAATACGGTTTTAAATTTGGAAGAGATATATTGTTCAATAAGAATAATAATACATTCGTTGAAATTGAATTACATATGAGGTTTGACAAAAATTATACCAAACTATACCACGGGGAGCAGGACTTTTTGTCCATTTAAATTTTTAGTGTTACTTTTTCTATATTATAGTTTCTTTTTTTATATTGTGTATAATTAGTTTTAATTGTAAATATTATAATTTCTTTTTATTATTTTTTATTTAATGTTACGTAATTAAATTGCTAAGTAGGTCATGTATTGTATTATATATTAAATGTCATTTAAATTAAAAAAAATAATAATTAAAAAAATCATCTATATATAGTCAGTAAATTATTGTATATCTTGTATGAATTGGTTAATAATATACATTTTTGTACTAATAATTGGGGATGTTATTCGGTTCCATAGACGGCTGCTCGTAAGTGATTATTTTTAATTAGGTTCGGATAGGGAATGTGTAACAAGTAACAAGTTACAGTTACCTATATACGACCTACCTATATACTGGGCACAGGTCTCTTCTAATTTCTGAGAGTGTTTAATGTAAACAGTGGCGAAGCTTCCATTAAAGCCGAAAAACCTAGCTTGCCTTATTAAACCTGAATCAATGAATAATATCAATCAATAATATCAACTAATAAAATAACTCGTAAAATGTTTCAAGCTATTTCAAATTTCCCGCGCACTCCACTGTTCGACAAATGTCGAGCGATGACCTCGTATTGCCTTAGCGATACTGCTGCTGTCATAAAAAATGAGTTTTAGGTTTGTCTCCCTCGCTCGCGTGGGCATTTTACGGGGCTTTCGAGAAGACGATCGCTTTCTTTCTTACCTATGGAAAATATTCTATAATGAAATATAACTACGATTGTATATATAGCAATTAGTATAGAGATTTAAAGCCAGGCTTTTGGGAATAAATTTGTTAAAAGCGGAGGCGCGCGGGCAATACGTTTGCAAGTTCATTTCACGTTTCTATGTTTATTTACTCTGTGTGCGATTTAATATTACGAGTTCAAAATTTATGCTTTTTTTAAAGTTTTTTAATGAAAATGGACGATAATAGTGTTCCTTGTGATGAATTGAAGTGTGTTAAAGTGATATTCGGAGAGGAAATCTTTAAACTTTGTTGAGATAATACACAAGGTTAAGAGTGTATTTCAGTCTTATCAATTATCGCAATTAAAAACAGTTATTGGTACAATTAAAACGTTCACCAACATTTTACGTGGACGTAATTAAATCTTTCCATAAGAAAGCGAGACGATTCCACTTATCTTATCTTATCTCTTATCCATTAGAATGTAAATATTTTTTAAGCTATTGCATAGCTTCTATCGCGGGCCTTGAGCGCGGGGACCGAATCCAGAAATTCTGTAACGAAAAAAAACCTCACGCTCCCCACTCCGACGGGCACGGAGGTGTGGCGTTGAAAGCGGTGCATCGTCTAACGTCGTTTTAGTTCGGCAGACTTCGGCACGGTGTTTGTGTGCGTGTACACTAGCTGCTAACTCAATGATAAAAATTCCTGAATAACCTACATGTATTGTAAGATATTAAAAATATTTTAAACAATATTAACTTCTCATTTATTCAATAAGAGAAAAAAAATTGTTTTCTTATCGGTCACGACGCTCCAAAAGTGTAACTTGATTTAATATCAAAGACTTAACTGAGTAAATAAAAAAAAATAATTATAATTGCATAAGTTGATAAAAAATGCTATGCAATAGCTTTACCGCGGCAGTCACCGAGTGACACACGTATTTTTTTTATTTCGTACATAGTTTGTTTGTACTTTGTCGTGTTTTACTTTTGTTCATGTATTGTATATGTATTGTATTTGTTCATGTATTGTATTGTTATTGGATGTAAATATGTTGTTTCTTTCGCTTAAACAAACCCAAACTGCTTTCTTCAAAGCCACCGAAGCTATGCAATTGCTGATATGTAATACAATCTATCTAGCAGTAGTATGCCTTCTGTGTGCTTTGTTAAGCACTTCCTTGACAGCACTGAATATGAAACTGAAGCGTGGAGACAGATCAAGATTGGTGTATTTTTATAAAACTGCTAAAAACAACAATCTATATTTTTATCAATTTATATCTTGGGCTTGCCCTAGCTTGGAGCTCTAGCTTCGCCACTGAATGTAAAGGAAGAGCCCTAATGCTTGTTGACACACTTTACAAGTCTCTGCATTATTATTTTTTTCAGACATGCACGTGTCTTCGTAATGTTTTCCTACACTTCCGACGAACACGTGGAAAACAAGCACTTTTAACAATTTCATTGATACTGACGGGGACCGAACCAAGGTTGTTCGCGTAATGTAAAATTTGGAGTAATCACTCAGCCCCTGAACTACCACCTACATCTCGTGTATGAATTTAAATTGTAAAATATTCTAATATATAATAATTTTAATAAAAAGTATTCTAATCTATTGATTTTGAATATTATTACATGTCTATTAAATAAACTGCTTCTATTTCGATTTACGTAATAAAAATATAAATTATATATATATATATATATATATATATATATATATATATATATATATATATATATATATATATATATATTTTTTTGTTTTTAAGTTTTCCACTTTATATTTTCTTTACGTGTGCAACGTTGGTGTTAGTGGATGTATTGAAATCAAATGAAATATATATAATAGGTCCTAATATATGAAATTGGTGTCTTGTACGGGAGAAATATAAAGTATTTTTTTAAATATGTTTAATTAATCAAAGTATGCACCGTTGTTATTTGCCATCTCATAGATAATTCATTGATCCCTTTACTAAAAAAAAAACCATGGGGGCTAGAATCAATAAACTCTTTGAAGGCGGCTTGGACTGCCGCAACGGAGTTGAATTTTTTTTCCTTGTAAGTAGTTGTCCAAAATCCGGAAAAAATGGTAATCTGTTGGAGCAAGTCCGGGAAGTACGGTGGACGTCGCAGACATTCCAATTGTAGCTCATCTAACTTAGTGGTTGTTTGTTGTGCAGTGTGTGGTTTTGCGTTGTCGTGAAGCAGCAGTGGCCTAGAGTGATTAACCAATCTCGGTTGTTTAGCAGCTAGTTCTTCCTTCATGGTTTGCTGTTGCTGAGAACAGATATCTGCCGTAATCGTTTGGCCAGATTTTGGAAAGCTGTAGTGAACGACACCGGCGCTAGTCCACCAAACACTCACAAGTAACTTTTTCTGAGTCAATTTTCGTTTAGGGCAGGATTTGGCTGAGTCTCCAGGTTTCAGCCATTGCGAGGAGCGCTTGCGATTATCGCACAGTATCCACTATTCATCACGAGTAATGATTCAATGTAAAATCCTTTCATTTTTGTGTCGGTTGAGCAAAGTAACACAGCAGTCGACGTGTGTTTGCAAGTTCGATTCACTTAATTCATAAGATACCTTACTCGTTCAAGTTTTTTTTACTTTCTCGATTTGCTTCAAGTGGATTAATACAGTTTTATCACTTACTCCGAAGCCTGCAGCTATCTCTGAAGTAATTTGTGATGGATCCACTTCCGCAATAGCCTTTAATTCTTCATTTTCCACTTTGGGTTGGATTTGTTGGGTTGTTGGTAGGGTTGGTTCTGAAGGTCGAAATTTCCGGAACGAAAACGTTGAAACCAAAAACGCACCGTGCTTTCTTTTGTGACACTATTGCCGTATACATCATTAATACTTCGAGCTGTTTCTGCAGCACTGGTGCCACGATAGAACTTGTACACTTAAATATACCGATATTTCATGTTTTCCAATGTGCGGTAATAAGCGACGCCAAAGAAAAAACTAATAAGGAAAAAACAAATGAATGACTGTTTTCAAAACTCAAATGTACCAACTAAATGAATTTATAAATTTGAATTTGGAACTATTAACCAAAGAGGAGATATTTCAGATCAAAGTGGTCAGTACGACAAGACGCTAATTTCATATGTAAGGACCCAATATATATATATATATATATATATATATATATATATATATAATTTAGTAAGTTTTTTTTTTCAATTTACTACCGTTTAGAAAGAAACTCCACAGGTTTTTATTGTGACGTTATCGTAATTGTTTAGTGTAGCATGAAAGTGCATTTAGCTGTGACAATTATTCGGATGTGATTGTAAAGAGCTTGCCTCAAGCACTACTTGGAGTAAAGGATCTAAAGTAATACTATAAGAAATATTTGTTGGAATAATAAAAATTAGTATTAAGTTGTAAATTAATGAATATTTAAAGATCGTTTCATAAGACTTAATATGCTCTAAATTATAGAAAACTAAGCCAATGGAAAGTTCACGTCGAATGGAATCCACAAAGCTAAAAGTCTAAAACGAATGCGAGAGCTACGGTAGCGTCGAAAAGGAAATCAAAAAATACGGCGCATTCCACGTTTCCCTTTATAAAATGTTGTTCAATTATAATATGTTTTCCTTTAAAACTGAATAATATTATTTTACACAAAAATAAAAATAACAAAACGTGCACGTGAGTTAATAAAGTTTCGTTGTATTGTTTTTCCTTATATTATTTATGTTTAACACGTTTTGTTTCTCAATTTTAAGGTTTTAACAATTTATATTTCTAACATTACTAGTTTATAGACTTTTCTACGTCCAGAAGGAGAGTGGGAGACGAAGGCAATCCTTAATACAATGGGAGCCGCTGATGTTCTGCAGTGGACTGTCAGGGGATCAATTAGGGAGCAAGAAGTGCAACTGTTACGACATCAATCATACGCAACGACGGTTTGGGGAGCGCAATGGCTGAGCTTTGTTGCGGCGATTCAGGGCCGTGGATTAGAAACTCGAACTGAACAAGTACTTATATGGCTTACCAGTAATTGTTCCAGATTTTAATGTATTTATAAGCTACGTGAGGGTACTGTGGTCACCTTAAGCTTTGCCGCCCTATGAAACCAAAATTAGGAGAAGGACAGAGACAAAAACACAAAGCAGTATACTATAACTAACATATAAGAAAAAATAGCAAACAAGCTTTGGCAATAATTAGGAACACTACGAAAAATCTACTTAAAAATAACTAACTACACTACACCATATTAAAATCGACTAAAATATTTTCTATAATGTCAACTGTCAAAATGGCGACGATATAGCATCGCCCTTTTGACCCTTTATAATTTGATTGGTTGATGAAGAGCTATCATATCACTAAGCAATCTATGCAAACGAGGCTGTAGTTTTTGAGTTATAAGAAAGTGACCATATTAACCGGATGACCATATTAACCGGATGACCATATTACGCTCACGTACTATATATGATACAGGCAAAATCTTAGTGTTGGGGTGACATTTATTTTAAAGAAAAAACAAGTAATTCCCGCATACACACCTGTTGGTCGAACAAAGACCAGAAGATCGGCACTGGAAGATACAGATACAGTATGGACAACACCACCTTCATGTCGGCCACCAACTTCTCGCCATAGTCCTCAACTGCATAGTCCAGCCAGTGATCTAAAGGTGGTCCGTCAGTCCTCGGATCGTAACTCAAACGTTTTCTTACTGCATACTAGATTTATACATTAGTTGACATTTAAAAAAGTATACAAACTTTATAATATTATTAACCTCTTTAATTTGGCCTAAAAATAGTTCAATTACATTTTGTTTTTATTGTATAAATGTGATACAGTCCTGACAAGTCAGTTGGCGAGTATTTATTATTATTGTCATATTTGTACAATACAATAATTTTCTTTGAAAATAACAGGCGTTTTTCACAATTTTTCAGTTTTAATTTGCAAATATTATTCAGACGTTTTATTAACTCGCTTTCGTTTATGTCTGTTCGGGTCGAAATTAGTTATTTTAAAATAATTTTAAACTACCTTCCCGATGATATACTTAAAATTATTATGATATATTTAATTTTTTATTTAATTACTCCAAATCGGATGACAATATGAAAATAAACGTAGTAGGTACATTAAAAAAATTATACTTTTTATAAATTCCAAATTACAAATAATTAGCAGTTTTACGAGTATAATTAGGAAATTATGCATAGACAAACACCAAAACGGGTAACGCTTTACCTTATCTCTTGCGGTAATAGAATCTGCAGCCCAGAGCACTGCAGTCACATGCTTAGATACTGCGCTACCAGGGCGACTGAGAGTTTACTAATATTTTCTTTACTCAACTCTCTCAATTAATAGAATAGTATGTTAAATTCTACATAATCAACCCTGTGAAAATGTACGAGTACTTAGGTGCTAGTACAAATAATTTTTTGAATAATATTTGGAATAAAGTAAATATACGCGTTCTATTTCAATATGTAGGAAAATGCCAGCCCTGAAATTGCATCAAGCACCAGATTCTATTTGGTAACATATTGTTGGGGATTGAATTTTCCCATAAAGGAAAATTTATATGTATCATGTACTGCACTCGTAGTAAATCCATCATGTTTCGAGTTAATGTAGTCTAACCTGAAGGATAATCAGTTTAATTGGTGAATCCAATCCTAACATACATACGCAAGTTAAGTTTATGTAACGTGAATAATTTCGACGATTGGACAAACATCTACAATATTTAATTGATATTGAAAACAGTTTGTTTCTTAAATTCAATTAATTAAATTAAATTTAAATAAAATTTATGTACATTGAATTCTACTTAAGACATATAAATCTCAGTATAATAATGATCAGAAGTAATCCTTTATTTAACCGAGTTCAAAACTGAGAAGGCTCTATATTCGATGTTTTTGTTTTTTTAAGTACGATTATGTTCACAGATTTCGGCTGAATCGATTTAAATGAATTTGTTTTAATTAACTAGGCAATACTTTAGGGGGTTCCCAAATAAATTTTAATATAAAATTTCCCAGCTTAGGATGAAGAAATAAGGTACGAAGTTTTTAAATGTAAGTTCCTGTTTACGTGATACGACTACGGATATTATTACGGCGTTTCTAAAATTCGCTGGCGATGGACACCTAAAATGAGTTTATTTATACTACGCACTTATATTCAGCTTACTTTACTTGATACTGATGCCAAAACGTACCTTGAACCACTCCATCAGAAATTTATAGAGAAATACTTAAATATGCTAGTAAACCATCAAAAAGTAGGAGATCAACGTAGAGCTATAGTCCACAATAATCTGATATCACAAGAAATTATAGACCAGATTTATAAAGTTAGAGAAGAATTAAATCATCATTCTAGTATCCGAACCACTCATGAACCACAATAAGAAGTTTTATAAACACATAACAGCGAAGCGGGAAACTAAAATGAGATGGACAAAGGAACAGAATGAGACTTTAATAAAACTGTATTAATAAATAACTGAACTAAATACGAATACAACTGATATTAGAAAACAATTACATCAAGCTTTCATTAATGCGTTCCCAACACTTGATCATTTAAATGGATAGCAAATAGCTGACTAAACAAGAGCAATAGTAAAAAATAAAAACATCACAAGAATTTCTTGACAGAAAAACCAATAACTGATGATGATTTGTGATCTATGAAGTAAAGTCATACCTTTATGATTTTACAGTAATAATTTACAGCAGCCTTTCCTGACTTAAATCTATTATCAAAAATATCATTATGTAGACTAGTGTAAAGTACATAGTTATTACTTTTAAATAAATGGTAGCTCCAAGTTTCAACAACATTTATTTAAATTATTTAAATTCAATCTATCTAAAAGGAAATTAAACTATTAAACGCTATGACTTTCTTAGGTAAAGAAGTAACGCTATAATAAATTTCTTAATGCGTTCGGTATGGCAAGCGCACGGAAATCTGAATAATAATACTTTATTATTTAGATTTCTGTGGACTAGCCACTCATTTCATAAACGGTACCCCAAGAATACCTTGTTTGTCACTATGTGTCCCTCTTTGTCACTCTGTAATCCATTATATTTTTCAAATAATAAAAATTAGAAGAAAGTATAACAAGAATTACATCACTGAGGCAACCAACAAAAAACTACAGATTTGACATTTGTGTTTTTTTTATATAGCCTAAGGGCGTTGTCTATAGGTTTTTCTAAGACAGAGAAACCTATAGACAAATTCACGCCTTCTTTCGCATTCGCACACGAAAAAGATAGAGTTATGCATACGTCTTGCATAGAAATGAGACAGAACTGTGTGATTGTTTGTCCCTTTCACCGTGCCGGTTTTTTTGTTTAGCAAACTCTACAGTTTGCTAAACAACTTTGAAAGCGTAGCGATTTAAGGAGTTTACAAGTTGGTTTAAGTGAGAAAAAAGTGTTTTGTGAGCCTAAGATTGGTGAATCTTGTTCAGTTCAGTTCTTAGAACAATTAAATTTTTTATCTAAATGTGTTTAAAAGTCATAAAGATTATTGTATAACCTAAAAATTCGATATCGTCCTTTCTCACTCGAGGCCACGCCGATCATTAGTCTATAGGTTTCTCTGTCTACGCCTAAGGGTGACAAGCGAGCACACTGTCCCCCTGAGTAGTTGCTGTGGCCCATAGACACCTACATCTATACTCGTTTGCGAATCAAAAATGCAGATGCGTTGTCACCCGTGAGGACTAAGATGGAATGCCTTTTCCAGTAAAAAGGGTCTCCGGTTCTCTACACTCACCAAACGAAACACAGCAGTATTAAGCTGCTATTTTACGTTAGTATTCTGTGAGAGCGTGGTCCTACTCCGATCGAGCCAACCCATTCGTGGTTCAACTATAAAATTAATATAGCTGCAGCACGGCTCAACAACGTTGCACTATGCATAGAGTAACGTAGCTAGAGTTCAATAATGAACGTGAACGCATAGTGACTATGTATGTATGTAAATGTTGTTTATGATTAATAAGTTTACTGTACCCAGTGCGTTCGTGAGTCCTCATAATAATGTTTAAAAATTATGTCAGAGTTAGATAATACAAGATGCATTGTAAATGTAATGTTATCCAGTGGCGTATTCAGCAGCCATTTTCACGCCTTAAATATATCGCGAAGGAAAAAGTGGATTTTTTAACAAGGCCACTAAGAAATATATACCAATTTACATAGAAAAACACTTTAAATTTCATTATGAAGAAATATATTTATAAATATCGGATTAGCAGTAGTGCTGGTTAGTATGATTTATATTTCTTACAGCACAATAGGTCCATAATATACTCATGGGCAAATTTGGAGGAACACAAAAAAAGTTTGTATTCGTCAGTTTATTAATTTGGATGTTGCTTATTATTCGTTAATTTAAAATTGCAAACGTCGAAAATAGCCAAACGATCAAAATGACAAACACTAAACAAAAAAGAAAAAGTATAATTTAAATGTATAAAACATAGGAATAAAGTTTTGCACTTAAAATTCTATTTTTTTTTTTCATGAATGCTTAGGAAAGGCTATATAACATGGGCTGTGACCAGTACTTAGCGTTGCCGCCTCTAGCTCTTCGAACCACTTCCAGTCTCCTAGGCATACGTCTAATCAAATTATCTTGAGAGATTGCGTCCCATTGTTCGCGTAATGCGTTTTTAACATCTCTTAAATTAGCGTGGGAAAGATTCTATTCTTAGTTAAGTTAAGATTATCCCATACATACTCTATGGGGTTTTAGCCAGGCAAGCACGATTGCCACCCCATAGCATTGATTTCAAGTTCAACGTCCCGAAGGTATTTGACAATTACAGCCGCAGTATGGGGCATGCATTATTATACATAAAAACCAATATATCTCCCATAAAAAGGATTAATGGCACTATAATTTCTTCCTAAATCTCACTTACATATCGTGCCGCTGTTATTGACCCATTCTTAATGACGCGGAGTTCCGTACGGGGTACGTAAGATTACCCCGTACCCCGTACGTATCGCAACTAAGTGCGAATACGGGGTACGTATTCGCACTTAGTTGGTTTTGTTTTACATAATGATAATAATAAGGGTAATAAATAAGTACACCGTCCACGTGATGGTTTGTGAATGCTGTAGCTCATAGACATCTATATTTATCCTAGACTAAGAATCAAAAGGCAGATGCATGCAATTTAATAAGTAAAGTAATAAGGTTCTCGGTTGAGCTGCTATCTTATGCTTGTATTCTGTGAGAGCGTGGTCCTTCCTCGGTCGGGCGACCCATTTGTGCTACAACCATAATATAGCTACAACACGGCTTTGCCACATAAGATCATATACATAATTAATAAAATTAGACGTTATTTTGTAGCCATTCGTTTTATTAAAAGATGTTAAGGAGTTAATTAGCTAAAAACCGCGCTGTAAAAATATAATGTGTCAACCTAATTTGAAGAACACCTCCCGCATGCCCTCAGTCGTTACTACTTATTCCAACACCATTACTCTCAAAGTTAAGACCCACCAACGTTGATAATACGACATGTGTTTTGCCTCTGAACCTACCGCATTATCGACGGTGATGTATCTTTCCAAGTGTTGTGTAGGGGGTTGTGGTGTTGGGATTAGTAGATATTTAGTTTTTAACATCTTAATTCATGAACATAATTGTCACTGAGGCTCTAAC